CGGAGGCAGGTCGCGCAGAGGAGCGGAAGCCCTAATGCAACGTATCCTATGTATCCAACGATTGCATAATTGGTTGGTATTGCATTGTATTGCATTATTATGTCTCCCCCCTAACCCCCCCGCCCCAGGCCACGTCACATCCACCGACCCAAAGATGGTGGACCCCTCCTGGGCTTCAACACCAACAAAAACCTACGGGAAACCGATGATTCGGGCCCCTTGGGCATCTTTGGGGTCTACGACGTCAAGACGGCTCAAGAAGGCCCCAAGACGGGCCACGACGGCCCCAAGACGGCCCAAGATGGCCCCAAGAGGCCCTACAAAGACCCCAAGACGCCCCAAGACGGCCCCCAGAGCACCCCCAAGAGCACCTCCAGAAGCCAAAAACCATTGATTTTCCAACGGCTTTTTGAAGATTTCAGCGTTCCCGCCTATTTCGACTCTCCGAGGTCCAGGACAGCTGAAACAGCCTCCGAAGTGGCCCCCAGACGGCCCAAGAAGTTCTCAAGAGGGCCCCAAAACGGTCCAAGAGGGCCCCCAGACAGCCCCAAGAGGCCCCCAAGACGGCCCAAGAGTACCCCAAGACAGTCTCCGAAGGGACCAGACAGCGCCAGAGCGCCTCCAAGACGCCCACACGGGGCCCCAAGAGGTCCCCAAGAGGCCTCCCAGAGGCCCCCAAGAGGCCTCCCAGACGCCCCAGCGAGGACCCAAGAGGCCCCAAAGAGGCCTCCAAGGGGCCCCCAAGAAATTCCCAAAGGCCCGACAACGACTGGACTGTACGTGCTCCGGACGTGCACCCCGCGAAGCGAGAGGAATCGTGAGGTGTGCTGAAATCGCCTGAGGCCGCCATGCGAACCCTGCCACTGAGGACTTCGGTAGAGCTCTCTCGATGTGGCCACGATCCTCGTGAGAGGTGTGCCGAAATTGCCCGAGCCCGCAATGCGAACCCTGCTACTTGGGCCTTTGGTGGAGCTCTAGTGAGGGGTGTGCCGAGATGGCCCGAGGCCGCCATGCGAACACTGCCACTGGGTGGGGTGTGTGCCAACATATGGTCAACATCGGGAGGGCAGAGGCAGGGATGGGCAGAGACAGGATTGGGAGGAGAGAGGAGGGGGAGGAGGAATGAGTAAGTGAGACGTAGGGCGCTATCTCTTCAAAACGAGGACCCCGAGAGGTTTCCTGTCCACGACGCAGGCACGGTGGCGGGATGGGCCGAAGGCCACTACTTACTACTTTTCAAAGCCAAAGCAGGATGTCGCTCAAACACTTCATGTATACGGAGCGAAACGCTCCGACAACCCATGTCGAAAACACAGCGTGCGCTGCAGCTCTGCACTTTTACCGAGAGCCTCTCTTTCAGAATCGACACCGACGACGACCACGACGACGGCGGCTCCGACGACGGCAGCGACGGCGACGCCTTCTTCGGCGACGGCGACCTCGACGGCGGCGACGCTGACGCCGACGGCGCAGACGCGGACAACAGCGGTGGCGTCTGACGACGACGACGAAACCCGAGGCGGGCCTGCTTGGTCTCCATCAGCTGCACACCCAGGTCCTTCTTGTTCTCCTCCTCGCTCTGGAGCGCCTCCTCGCCCTGCGCCTGGGCCGGACTGGGCGAGGACGACGGCGGCGGGGGTGGCAACGACGACGACGACGACGACGACCTCGTTTTCGTCGACTCGACGATGGCCTCGACGGCTCCGATGAAGAAATCGACGGTGTCGACGGCGAGGACCTCCTCCCAGACTCCCCGACGTCGTGATCGTTCAAACTCCCCTCCGGCCGCCCTCCTACGTCTTGGGGCGAGGCGAGGGGGACGTCACGGAAGGGGGTGGTCTGCTTGGGGTCGGTCAGGCCGCCCCTGACGCTCCTACGCGCAGCCGACGGAGTCGGGGTTCGAGAAACGGGCCGCCGGCGGCAGCCAGGGACGAGCCGGCCCCCCCCCCAGGAAAGCCCCCAGCGAGGCGCAGCGGCTGGAACGCCTCCGGGGTCCCGAACGAAGACCCCCACGGACCGACAAAACCACTAGAAAGTGAAAGCCCGCCTGGAAACGGCCTGCGCGAGGCCGGAAATGAGGGGGAAGGAGTGGAGGAAGGGAGGAGGAGGAGGAGGAGGAGGAGGAGGAGGAGAAGGAGGAGGAGGACGAGGAGGCGGCGAAACAATATCGGGCCGAACGTCTCGTCTGCCGGCAAAACCACGCGATTGAAAAGGGACTATACCATGTGCGACCTATCGTGCGCCATATAGCGATTGACTAACAATTCCCCTCCAGGGGGTGGGAGCCCCAAGTTGTCCTTGCTCGACCACAATTCATGGCTCACCCCTCCTAGGATTTTTACGCAAAAGAGCCAGGTCCTGACCCAAGGAGAAAAGGAAAAAACGGCCAAAGGAAGTGCCGGGAGGAGGAGGAGGAGAAGGAGGAGGAGGAGGAAGAGGAGGAGTTGTTCTTCCACGATGTAGGAGGAGAAGGAGGAGGAGGAGGAGATGAGGGGCACGGATAGGGGCCACTGCCTCAGGGGGGGAAAGCAAGGACTTGGAATTGGCGTCGCCTCGCCGGCTACTAGGCGAGGTGGGGGGCCCAGGCCCCCAGGCAATAAAGTGGGCGATTAGAGGTCGCCGCCTGCGCGAGGCGGGGACTGATCCATCACCACCTCCTGGGGGAATCGCTCCTCGGGGAACCCGACAGGCGGCAGATACAGTGGTGGCCTGTCCACTAGAAGCCTTCCACCACAAGAAACCTAACCCTGAGACCCCATGACTTCCATTGATTTTTGGTGTGGGAACGCTACGCTCTCCGTCGCAAAACCATCGAAACCCAAGAAACCCAGGGCACCCTGGAGGCAAGCAGGGTGTTTCTTGGCATGGGCCCCACTGTATCAATACAGTGGGCCCCCCAGGGCCGAGGTCCCCGACGATCGATCATCGATCCCCCAGGCCCCAGGCGGTGGCCATTGATAACTCCCCGCCTTCGGAGCATTCCCTCTCAGCACGCCCCAACCCCCCAGACATCTGACGCTGCTTTTGCACAGCGTGGCCCCCGGAGGTCTGGAACCCTTCCCCAGGACTGAAGTTTCCTCCCGAGTCGATCTCCTACGGTCCCAGAGGCCGAAAATGGGCAAAACCATCCGTCGTGACGCTTCCACGACGAGAGGATGTCGAGGCCTGCCGCTGCCCCCTGGACGAGCTGGGGCCTTGGAGGCCGACTTCTCCGTGAGCGCCTTGGTGTCCGCGCTCCTGCGGTGTGCCCCCCCCTCCCCCCCCGCACGTGCGCGCGCGCTGGGCCAGCGGCGCTGTGGCTCGCACTCGCCCCGCTCTCTGCCGGAATCCTCCTGCTCCTCTGCGCCCTGCCGTCATCTCCTTGGCACGGCAAGGCTCTGGGCCACGCACAGGCAGACCCGCCAGACAGCCCCTGCTGGCCTCAGCAGGCCTCCCGAGTAGCCTGGGGCGTTCTCAACACCCTGACGCTTCCGGCGGCGCCCCAGGTGCGCTCCGCGTCCCAAGGTTGAGGTGTTGAGTGTCGAGACCGCCCAGGACTGCTCGGGGGGGCCCTCTTGAAGCCAGCAGGGACTACCTTGGGGGAGGGGGTCTTCGCGCAACCCGAAGCCCTCGCACATCGCGCCCGCGAGGAGGAGGAGGAGGAGAAGGAGGCGGGCGAGGGAGGCGTAGGAGGAGGGGGGAGGCGCAGGAGGAGACCAGACCAGACCAGACCAGACGAGGGCGAGGAGGAGGAAGCCAGGCCAGACCAGCCTAGACTAGACTAGGCAAGACCAGGAGAAGCAGGAGGGGGAGGGGGAGGAGGCAAGCTAAATAGGTGCGCTCGCGTCATGTCTGACGTCCTACCCCTCCCTACCATCCCTTCCCATGGCGTAGATCTCCCCTCTATTCGCACAATCGGACGTCGTAGCATGTCATAGCATTACATGGCATAACATGGTGTTGAAGATCAACGCGTAGCATGACACAGCATGGCGTGGCGACGCCTCCAAGTGGTGGGCGTCTGCGGTCCAGAATATCAAGGAACCCAGGCGACGCCTCCAAGTGGTGGGCGTCTGCGGTCCAGAAAATCAAGGAACCCACACCGAAGGTGTTATCACTTCAGAGTGTTTTTCTCGCGGACCATTTTCTAGATGTTGGGGCCTTTTTGGAAGGACCGAAAACCATGCAGTGGCATGGCGCTGGAGATGGTGACGCCAGCGCTGCAGCGGGAGCAGGCTTCGGAACGAGCGGAAGCGCGGAAATGAGGCCAGCGGTGCAGCGGGAGCACGATTCGGAACGAGCGGTAGCCCGAAAGTGGGGCCAGCGCTTCAGCGAGACCAGCATTTTGAACAAAAAACCCAGCGCGGAAGCGTGGAATTAAGGACGCGTAGCCTGACATGGCGACGCCCCGAAGTAGGGGGGGGCTTATGCCCCAACAGTCAACAAATCGGTACCGAAGGTGTAAGCACTTCCGATGGTTTTTTCGGGGGGCATGTTCTAGATGTTGGGGCCGATTTGGAAGGACCGAAAACCATGCCGTGGCATGGCGCTGGAAATGGTGAGGCCAGCGCTGCTACGTGAGCACGATTCGGAACGAGCGGAAGCGCGGAAATGAGGCCAACGCTGCTGCGGGAGCACGATTCGGAACGAGCGGTAGCCCGAAAATGAGGACAGCGTTTCAGCGACAGCAACATTAAAAACAAACCCAAGCGAAAACCCGTTTCCTAGGAATCCTGTAAAAAACAGTACGCGGAGGGGGGCCGGCCACGTCCCGGACGCCACCAGGGGAGAGAGGAGAGTAGTATTCAGATTCTTTATTGTAGACGTGGGACGAGGGGAATGAAGAAGGCACAGGAGCAGCGGTACGTGGAGGTAGTGAGGGCAGAGTCGATTGAGGATGAAGGTGACGGCGGAGGAGCAGAGGAGCTGCAGGAGAACGGGGAGCAGGACGAGGAGGAAGAGGAGGAGGAAGGTCAGGGCGAAGGTGAGGGTGAGGGTGAGGAGGAGGAAGAGACCTGGCACCGCTGCCGCTGCTGCGCCTCCCGCGTGGCCTCTGGCGGGGGGAGGGGCGTCGTGCAGACACAGTGACCGTCTGATGCAAAGACCCTCTCCCCGAATGGTGAGGCTTCGGGTTGCCCCTCCTCTCCAGCCGTCCGCGCTGTCCGTTCCCGTACTCTTGCCAGCATTCGCTTCTACTTTTCCCCCGGGCTGCGTGTCACCCCTAGGCTCTCGGGGATGGGAAGGTTTCGGGTTGCGCACGGACAGTCCCCCCCGGTAGTCCCAGCTGGCCTCAACATTGCCCCCCGAATTGTTCCAGCCTGGGGCGTTCCACACCCCCGGGCTGAGGTGTTGAGACCGCCCAGGACGTCTCAGGGGGGGCCTGTTGAGGCCAGCTGGGCCAACTCGGGGGGCGTGTTGAGGCCAGCTGGGACTACCTGGGGGGATTGTCTGTGCGCAACCCAAAACCTTCCCATCTCCGAGAGCGCAGGGGGAGAACGTAACTTGCGCGACAAAGTAGAAGCAAATGCTGGCAAGAGTACGGCAACGGACAGCGCGGACGACTGGAGAGGAGGGCCAGAGGGAGAGGGTGGAAGCAGGGGTGGTCGGAGCGAGGCAGGGCGCAGCATAGAAGATGGAGTCATGCAAGCCCGATGCCAAACCTGTACAAGCAAAGGAGAAGGTGAGCGCAACAGATCGTCAACACTCACCAGCAATGCCCTGAGAAGCTAGGCAGAAGCCTGCGCACTTGCAGCTCGATGATTGCGTCTGAACAGCCAGTCACGGGCACGCCGACTGCTCCGAGGGAGCAGGAGGGGCGAGGGAGCAGGAAGGAGCAAAGGGGAAGGAGGAGCGAGGGCTGCCCTTCTCGCTCCGCGCAAGGGGGCGGGGTCTCAGGTCCGCTGGTCGATGCACCGTGCGCGTACGTGTTCGGACGCGCCTCCGCCGGCTGCGCAGCCAGTCCGAGCGTTCTTGAGACGCTGTGCAGGCGAGAGCGCGAGCGCGAGGGAGGACGAGGGAAGGGGTGGGAATGGAGGATGAGGGCGGAGGAGTGGCAGGAAGCGAACGGCCCTCCCGTCCGCCCACTCCTGCCTTCCTCCTCCAACTCCTCCTTCCAGGCTCGCTGCAGGCTGTAGGCTCAAGGGGTACCTACACCTACCAGGATGAGGCGGCCATCACAACCAAACTGCATGCTGTGGGATCGTGAAAGGTCATAATCCAAACAATGGGCGGCAAAAGGGCCACATCCTTGAGGTTACGGGTAAAGCTAACACCTTCTCTCCCGATGCGGACGCTGCCCGTTGGAAAGAAGGGGTAGAGGAGGAGGAAGAGGAGGAGGCTCGTGCACTTGCGGAGGCTCAGCCTCGGGCGCTCCTCGCGACCCTTCGACTACGACGACAATGATGTCATGATATGACTGGGTCAGGATACATGCCAGAATTTCCAGAATATCTAGCGGCTCTCGTTTCTGCAGCCCGTGTGGAATATCAGGAAATCTGGGAGATCCTGGAAACCTTGGAAATCCTGGAACATATCGTTATCAGGACCCCGTGCTCCTCTGATCGAGAACTTTTGGCGGCGCGCACGGCGGGGTGTCGCGAGGGGGAGAAGCCTTCTGAGAACGCGGGGGGACTTCTGCTGCATCTTCGGGGAACCTTGTCTGGCCCGTCGCGCCGTGATCCGTGTCGAATCCACGTCGAATCAGCGTCGAATCCAAGTCGAATCCACATCGTCCGACCACGCGTCGTATATCAGAAAAGGCTACAATTTACAGGACAACCCAGGTTACCCGAATATGCACGTTCTAAGAATGTGCCTTCGAAGAAGGCCCCCATCACCACCCCCTTGTGCGCGGCACCACGATTCACAGCCACCAGAGGGGGGCTAAACTGTGATCGTCAGAGATCGGTTGCAGTGGCTTCTCTGAAGGTGTTCGGTAGGTTCTCTTCTGTTTTCGCATGGTTTCCGCGGGTGTTCGCGAACTGTTTGAGAGGCTTTCGGATGTTCTCGGAAGCATGGGATGAGTCCGCTGCGCCGAATTCAGGGCTTTCCGGGGATGGCCGGCATGCTCCCGCATGGCCGCCTACAGCCCGAGCTATCGCCCGAAAACAGCCCGAGGGGGGCCACTCGAGACAACGGCGGCCCTGCCTGGCCCTGGCGTTGTTTGTTTTTTGCTGGGCCTCCTGGGGTCCTCTCGACGTTGTCACCGTCGCCGTCGCCGTCGCCGTCGCCGCCGCCGCCGTCGTCGTCGTCGTCGTCGTCGTCGTCGTCGTCGTCGTCGTCGTCGTCGTCGTTGTGGTCGTCGTCGTGGTCGTTGTGGTCGTCGGGGGCGGCGGCGGCGGCGGGGGCGAAACGAAAGGGGGCGGGCAGGGCGGAGCGCAGAGGCCAGGAGCCGGCCGCTTGGGCTTGCGGGGGCCGACATGGTTACCGGAGGAGGGCCGAAATGATTCTCGGAAAGCCTGTGATTGTTTTCCACCCCGATCGAATCGCAAACTGAGGGCATCGAAGCCCTGCGACCGGGCCAAGCGCTCACCACTTGCGCTCCCAGCGGGCGCCGCTTTCCCACATGACGGTCTGGTTCGGCAGCATCTGGCCCTCGGGGAACGGCGGCTCCACCAGCACCCTGGTGCCGCGCACGACACCCTTCTTCTGGTACGTCTCGCCGCTCTTCTTCTTCAGCTGAAAGGAGATCGAGCACTTGTCCTGCTTCACTTGGAACAGCTCACCGTGCGCGTCCGAGAACCACTTCTCGCCGCCGAGGTCGGCGCAGCCGGACTTGGCGATCGCAGCGTCGAGCTCCGCCGCGCGCGTACGCTCCATCTGCCGCCTGCGGGCGCCCTTGGGGCGATCCTCCTCCGAGTCCAGGGCGCTGACCTGCACGAAAGCGAGTGCCATCAGCATCACCGCCAGCACGCGCGCCATCGCTCGGCTGAGTGTACGGCAAAGGGGGTCGTTAATGTAGCAGCGGAATGGAATGGTTGGCAAGCACCTTGATCCAAGATGGCAACGGACGCCTTGAAAAACCTGTCATGATGAACCCTTGGAAGGGTCCTGGGACCAGCGCTGGCCTGGCGGGCCGCCTACTCTTCGCGCATCGCGCCGCGCGATGCGCGATGCGTGGTCATCTTCGCGCCCTCGTGCCGATCCCTGGAGAAGACCAGCTCGTCGGCCCCAGTCGCGACGCGCGAACCGCAGTCGTTTTCGCGCCTCTTCGGGCGACCTGGGCACAGTAGAGCAACACATGAATGATGCACAAGCTCTTGAGGGTCGGCGCGGATGTCTTGGGTCGGCGCTGACCCCCTCCCCAGAGGGAGCCTCTGGGGGGACTGGCTCAGGGGGTGAAACACCGACCCGTAGTCGGCGATGGATCGCCGATATATCGGTGATAGGCACACGATAGTGAGCCCACACGGTCCTGGATGCGGGCGGTCCTATCAGGCCCCTATCGGCAATCCGCGAGCGATTGGGGGTCGATGCGCCCCCCCCCCCTGAGCCTATCCTCCCCATAACCTTGCGCATTTGCTTTCGTGTCATAACTCGGTCTTTTTGGCCGCCGTTCGGGACGTTCCGGGCACCCCAAGGAAGGCATGCTCTCGGCAAGGCGCAGATGGTTGAGAGTACCCCTTGGCTGGAAAACTGCTGGGGACAGACGAGAGCGCCAGAAAAAATATCGAAGCCCGAACGGTTTGCCCGAAATGGCCCCCCCCTGGGCCGATCCAAAGGAAGAGAAAAATACATAAACGTAAGCTTTTGGATCTCCGTGCGAAATTCTTGAATCGGTGACTGCTTTTTTTCCTCGGAAGTAACACGTGTTACCTTGGCGGGGGACGCGGCCGGGGGGCGACGGTAATGGCGGCCGCGGCGTGCGCCCGCCAGGGCGTCGGTGCCACCAGCAAATCAATCGCATGTATGAACCACGGTCCCTGTGTACACGACAATGCCGAATGCCCGCGGGCAACCACAGCGCCGCCTGTGTGCATCACAGTGCCTCCGTACACCACAGCAGCCGCGTGCACCAATGCACCACGTCACCTGTGTACATCTCAGTGCCTGTGTACACTGCAGCAGCCCCGTGCGCAACAACGCCTGAGTACACGACAATTCCTGCGTGCACCAGAATGCTTGTGTACACCACAGCACATGTGCACACCGCAGCAGCCATGTGTACCAAAGCGCCTGTGCACACCACAATGCCTCCGTGCACCACAACGCCCGTGTACACCACAACGCTAAACGTGCCAGCGGGCACATCAGTAGCTTGCGGGAGGGAGGAGGTGGAGTCGGGAGGCGGGGAAAGGTAGGAGGACGTGGGGCGTCGGCTGTACGGTAGGACCATGTCGTGAGGCCTCAGAAATTGGTTTCTGAAACCGCGTGTGTATCATTCAATTTTGAGCCCTCGCCCCAATCTTAAACCATGATTTCGCACCGCGGCTTCGTTTCTGAGAATCCTGGGGCCCGAAAGGCCCCCCCCCCTCGGGCGCGTCGCAACCGTGAACGCCCGTGCTGTGGTCGCCGCCACGCCTTCTCTGTGCTAGCGAGCTGTCTGCGGCCAGAGGCAACCACGAACAACAACGCCGCGAGCCCGCAGACCAGCCCCCACAGTGGGGCCACCAGGCTGCGAATATGCTGTTATCTTGCTCCATCCCCCTTCCCACCTCCTACTCCCCCTCCGCCTCCTCCTCATCGTCCTAGCCCTCCTCCTCTGATATCCTTCTGCTGCACCGCAACGCTTGTGCACAAGACAGCGCCTGTGTACACCACAGAGCCGTGTGCACCACAGCGTCTGTGTACACCACAAAACGCCTGTGAACACCGCAATGCCTGTGGGCACCACAGCAGCCATATGCACCGCAGCGCACGCGTACGCCCCAGTGCCTGCGTGCACCACAGCGCCAATGTACACCACTATGCATTGGCCCTGCGTGCACGTCGATGCCTGCGTGCGCCGGAGCGCCTGCGTACTCCTTCCAATGTCCTCTGGAAACTGCAAACATTCAAACTTGCGGCCGGTTTGCAAGCACTGCCGTTACGGGGTGTGTGTCTGGGGGGGAGAGACACGTGTTACCCCTGGGGGCCTTGGCCTCTAAAAAGCATGCGCTCGGCGCCCAGGTCCCCCTTGGCGGCGCCACTGGCGCGCAAGAGAAAGGGGGCCCAACGCAGGTCCAAGGAATCCACGCGCAGCTCCAAACAAATATGTTTGTGCCGTTTTTTTTTTTGTTTTTTTTTTTTTTTCTTGGCGGCGAGCGAGGGGAGAAGTGAAAAGGAGAAGGCCTATTCAGAAGGCTCGAAGTCCCCCGTCTGAGAAGTTTCCATGCCTTCCCCGAAGAGAAAGAAAACACCTCGAAGAAGGCGTGAGGGCTTCTGAGATGTCCCGCCGCCTCCTGAGAAGGCCTTCTCCTTCTCGTTGCCCCCCCCTCGCTCGCCGCCGACTTACGGCGATCTCTCCCATGCGTTGCACCTGATCCGCACAACCCCTCCACAGCCCGCGCCAGGAGAGTACGGGGCCCGGCGCCGACCCGAGGAGATCCGCGCGGACCTCCGCAAGCTGTGAGTGGTTTCTCGGCGAAAACGGCTGGATCGGAGAGGGGACGAGGCCTGGGAAAGAGCAAGGCTGGGAATGAGGATGGGGGGCCTCCCCGGGTAGAGGAGAGCCCGCCCAGGTCGAGACGCTCCCTGGCACCGCTGGCACGGCGCAGGCCAGGAAGATCCTGGTGCTCAAGACACCCCAGGGCTGCATCTTCTCCAGCAGGGCGGGTTCTCCCCCTCCTCCTCCTCCTCCTCCTCCTCCTCCTCCTCCTCCTCCTCCTCCTCCTCCTCCTCCTGGATTCACCTTGTAGATCGATCAGAGTTGAACGACCACCTCTGTCGCGCACGGAGATCGTGGAAGCTCGGCCTGGCTTGAGCCGCTCGCGGCACTCGGCCTTGAACGCCCGCGCCGCGGCGTCGCCACCTCGTCGACGCGGCGCAGGCCCGCCGTGGCTGGGCAGACCTGCCTTGGGCCTCCGCTGGCTGCGGCGGGATGGATCGCGGCTGCTGGAAGGCATCCGGGGGCACGAAGACAGCCCAAAGCCAGCCAAACGCCAGAAAGCCTCCAACCCTGAGCCGCGAAAACGTCCAGCTGGGAGAACGACTCCCTCGGTCACCTCTTGGGTGTGCCAAACGAGGGGGGCCAGGAAGGGAGGGGGCGGTGCGCATCATGGCCTGCGGCATGAGCGCGGACGAGTAGGGCACAGGAAATGTGCTGGAAGGAGGCCTTGAACCTAGGAGGTCGCATCGCCCTGCCCAGGATATGCACGTGCCCCTACTCCTCGCCCCTGTCTCGGACGCCCCAGAGTCTAGTGCGCTGGCGGCGCCCACAAGGGGGTGGCGCGAGAGGGGTGGGCTTCGAAGAAGGCGACAGAGCTCAAATGAAGGCAATGTAGAGCTTCTCAGAAGCCAGCCTGGCCTCTAAGGAAGCTTTCTTGGGAGCCTCCAGGGCATTCTGAGAGGGCCCTCCGCCTTCTTTGAAGCCCCTGCGCCTTCTTAGAAGGCCGCTGCCCTCGCGCCACCCCCCTTTGCCGTCGCCAAGGCCAGGGAAGCCACCTCCTCGCCACCCCGTCCCCCCATGCAGCTGGCTATCGCGCCCCATCTGCGATGAATGGGCGATTGGGATGCCCGGGGATTTCCCCAGTGACACGAAGGGTCTCCTGAAGGATCGCATGGACTTCATCATGCACGCGTCGCCGCGGCCTCAAGACGCCGCTCTAGTCGCGGAGCGAGACCCTCGCCGCTGCGGCGCCCCCGCGCCGGTGACCCTGTTCCCAGCTAACGTTGCCTCTGGCTGCTGCTGCTGCTGCTGCTGCTGCTGCTGCTGCTGCTGCTGCTGCTGCTGCTCCTCCCGAGTCCTCGCCGGGGCGGCCACGCGCGCTCCTCTTGTCGCCCGCGTCGGACATGAGCTGCTCGTAGTCCTCCTGCGCGTCCTTCTCCGAGACGGTGGCCTCCAGGAGGTGGACGAGGAGCGGGAGGAGGATAGGTAGGTCGCCTCCTCCCTCCTCCTCCTCCTTCACCCTTCTCCTCTACCTCCCTCCTCATCCATCTCCCCCTTCTAATCCGTTGTCCTGCGCTTCTTCCTTCCTCGTCCCTCCTCCTCCTCCTCCTCCTCCTCCTCCTGCTCCCTCATCCTCTTCCTCCAAACTCTTCCTACTCACTCCTCCTCTTCCTCCTCCTCCTCCTCTTCCTCCGCTTCCTGAAATCATCCTCTCACCTCCTCCAGTGCACTCCTCCTCATCCTAGGTAGATGATCCTTCCCTCGCCTCTCCTCCTCCTCGTTCCTCCTCCTCGTTCCTCCTCCTCGTTCCTCCTCCTCCTCCTCTTACATCCACCAGTTTGCCAGCACCACGTTGGGGCGTGTTGGAATCCTTGTCTATTGCCTGGTAGGCTCACTTAGTTTTCTTACGGCGATCCTCCTATTCGCACGCGTGGTCAACAACGACGCCAACCCTAATCCCTCAAGGCCTGGCTGAGAAAGTCTAGGGAGCTTCGCTTCATCTTTCAACCCACTTCTTCCTCTGCGGGGAGGGGTTTTCACTGCTCTTTATTCGCAAACGCCCCCTCAGGGGCTTGATCGCTCGCTCCACTCAGGGCGCCGCATTCTATTTACACTTAGCGTTTCCGTCCAACGCCCCCGAGGCCCTCGCGGGCCGATCCGGCTCGAAGAATGCCGCAGACAGTGTTGGACCTAGGGATCTGACAGTCCTCACCCCTCACGGAGACTGCGGCGGGCCCCCGCAAGCCGAGGCTGCCACTACTGGGACTGGCTCGCAAGGGCGCGCTCCCAAGCGCAAAGGGTACTTCGCCTGACGATCGCGCGCCCCTGTCGAAGAAGACGCCATTGCCCTCGGCCCGCCGCGCCGCCCCAGAAGTGAGGGGGGACCAGGCCGTGGGCTTGCACTTCCGAGCCCGCACGCCGTGTGGCACACGGCCACGGAAAGCCAAAGACCACCGCCGCGGGACGGACGCGCCCCCAGGCGCCCCCGCGGGCGAACCGAGGTTCCCGGCAAGGCTTCCCGGGCACCTCTGGGCCCGGAGGACCGCCCTCGCCCCATACCCAGGGACAGGGGGGGGGGGTGGCCGGTGGGGGTCGGCACTCCTCCCGCCGGCAGCCCCAGGACAAGATCGAGGGTTCCTCCCGGAGGCCGCGAGGGGAGAGAGGCCCCCCAAGGACAAGTGTGGCGCAAGTCTTGCCTCAAGGCTCCCCTCCCCCTGGATGTTCCCCGAAAAGCTTCCAAGAAGATCGTCCAAGATGGTTCCGGAACGGCTTCCGGGAACGTCTGGATCACCTTCCCATGTGGATGGGCGAAGGACGAGCGGGGTAATCCCAAACCAACCAAGCCTTGCACGCACACGCCTAATGTTTTCCACGAGGTGGCCCGCTTTCGCGACGTCGGACCTCTGAGTAAGGCGCTCTGGCACAATCTTGTTTTGGGTCCCTATCACGGCAGGGTGGCGCAAAGTGCACGGCGTCAGGGGGCAGCAGCCCAACTACCCATCGTACACCCAGGACTGTGCACTGCGCGACTTCGCCCGAGAGCGCTTGTGATTCAACGATGCGCTCTGACAGTGCTCGCGCAGACAAAGCCCTAGACCTCTCAGGCGCAATCTGTCATTATTCTCGGCCCCCGTGGGCTTGGGAGCAGGAGGAGCCCTTCCGTGGCGGATGCTTGAGGCAGCCCCAAAGGGGCTGGAGCAGATGGAGTCTGGAGGATCGCTCTACATGGCCGTATCATCGGCGATGCATCGGCGACATCGGGAACGGGAAAAGTCGTGGTCGGCATAGGACCATTTCGCCAATGCATCGGCGATGCAGCGCGATCCGCCGAGCCCGCCTATTCGGCCCGCGTTTGGACGATCAGGGACCAGCGGCGGCAGCGGAATTAAAAGGGCGAATCTGTGCAAAGCACTACTATGGCGGAAGCAGGGGGGGACGTGGAGATGGAAAAAAACCTCAGAACAAACAACACAAGAAACATACGCTCTCGGCGCTTCGCGTGGATTTCTTGGATCGGCACCGAAACCCTCTCCCTGGCGCGCGGAGCGCGCCAGGGGCGGCGTCGGAGGCGCTGCCAAGAAGACCCTGCGCCCATCCAAGAATTCCGCGCGGATCTCCGTGAGAACATGTGCTTGCCGTTGTTTGTTCTCCCAATTCCACCGGGCACCCAAGCATGGGAACAGAAGCGCCTCCATGAAAGCACCTCGGCGGCACGCAAGAGTGATCCTAGGCAAGAGTGACCTTTAGTGTGCGGATTACGGGGGCGCAAGGTGGCCAAATCCAAGCGCGCAGGCAGGCACTATCTCAGCGCGCTCAAAGATCGGGGGAGGCCCAGTGAGAGCCCGGACAGACGATCATTCCGACGAAGGGTCATTCTTCCTAACGTGTAGTCGATCCCCATTCTGGAGCCCCGAGGAGGTGCCAACTGACTACCTACTAGACCACCCCAACCCAACCCGAAGACCCGAATTTCGGGTTGGGGGGGGTAAGGGTTCCACTCGTGTTTTTTCGACGTTTCCCGACCCCCCCCCACTGGAAATCGAGGGTAAATCTGAGCCTTCGGGTTGGGTTGGGGTGGTTTGGTGGGTGGTGACCAACTGCTCTGCCTAGGCCGGCTCAGAGAGGGGCTCGTAGACGCACACGCACCGAACCTCGATGGACTCGCGGTCGTGGGCGCCTTCGGGCGTGGTGGGGTCCACGAATGCGGAGTGCAGGGCGAATGTCGCGTGCGGCCCCCCCACGAGGGCGCCGTCCGAGTCCCACTGCTTGATCAGCATGGCCTCTTCGCGGACCATCCCTGGATAGTAATACCAGCGGTGCCGGGGCGAGTGGGCGGCGAAGTAGTTCTCGCCGATGCGGTCGGCGTAGTGGATCTCGAACACGCACAAGTCCTCCGCGTCCACCGTCCCCGCATCCACGCACGCCAACGGCAACACGCTCACCGGCTCGTCGCGAATACTCCGCCAAACGTTGACGATCGCGAAGCGGCCCCTTCTCGCCATCTCCAGAAGAAGAAAACACAGCATAGACATAAACTGTCGGATGTCCGCGCGGATTTCTTGGATCGGCGCTGGATTTCCCTCCCTGGCGCCCCGATCCAAGAGATTTGCGCGGAACTTCGAAAGATTGTGCTTATGCCGATGTTGGCTCCTTCAATCTCGAGCGCCTCCTGGGAGACAACCGCCTTCCCGCCGAGCACCTTTTGGGAGACACAGGGGCACCCCTGCTACGCAATCGTCGACACCCCAGGCGATTTCACTAGCATTTAAATGAAATAACTAATCCCCGAGGGGGGGGAACCGCAGAGCGATACAGATATCACAAAGTTACGCCGGGGGGGGGGGGGGGTAACAGGACTAGAAAAGGAATCCTTACTGCGCTTGCTATCTCATCGGCACCATGCAAACGTGGCCAACAGAGCCATCGAAACCGTCGAACCTTGTCGACGACGGCGGCGGCGGCGGCGGAGGCGGCGGCAGCGACGACGACGACGACGACGACGAGCACAGACGACGACGACGACGACGACGACGACGACGACGACGACGCGCTGCGGATGCCCCATGGGCGGGGTCTGCGTGGGCCCTCCGTAAGCGACGACAACGACGCGCTGCGGATGCCCCGTGGGGGAGGGGTAGGGGGGGGGGTGCCGCGTGGGCCGGCCGAGGCCAGCCGGCGACGACGACGACGGACGGACGGATGGACGGACGGACGGACGGAGGTACAGACGACGACGACGACGACGACGACGGAGGACGGAGGACGGAGGACGGACGACGACGAATCGCTGCCTGCAGATGATCCAAAACGGGGGGTGCTTCGTGGGCCCACCGAAACCGACGATGAGGACGACGACCAGGACGACATAATCCGGTCGCAATCCGATTGGAGTTCTATCATTTTAATCATATTGAAATCCTGTTTGCATCCGATTGGGATCCTTTTGGAATCCTGTTGGAGTCCAGGAGTCCTAGTGGGCCTGAGGGGGTCTCATTGGAATCCAAGTGGAACATTGCTGGGATCAACATGAAATCCGATTGGAACCCTGGAAGCGTATTGGAGCTCAGGGATCCTATTAGACTCGTATTGGCGTATTGGACTCATGTTGGAAACTTGGATCCTCTTAGGATCCTACAGGAAAGCAGTTGGACACCATCGAGAGAGAGAGAGAGAGAGAGAAAACGAGATCCTGATAGCTGCGGATACTGTAATCCCAGCGGATGTGTGTAGATCCGGTACTAGATCCATGAGCAAACAATCCTTCTTCTGCTGCTCTGCGGAATGAACCGCGCCAAGAACCCTCCCGCACCGACGGTAGTTTAAACACTGGATCTCAAAAAAAACTCCCACGGGAAAGAGGGGATGGGAAATATGCATCTCTTTACCGTGTTCTTGATTCGTTATCAACGTTCCCTTTTCGGCAGGCCGTCTTGCGTAACGAGGGCCCAACACCACAGGACGGTTGCGGGGGAGGCCATGGCGAGAAACCCAACCATCTGCAAATTGAGTAACGCATCTGTGAGCACTGTCTTCTGCTGGTTTCCTCATGGGGCCACGGATCGCGCGCAAGGCATGCCGGAACGTAAAACGGGAGGGGGGGCGAGCGCGCGGACCGCGAAACTGGAGCATTCGGCGGAGCTCCCCTTTGGGCCACGAAGCGCGTGAGGGGCCGAAACGGGCGCGACGCCCATATGCGAAGGCTCCCTCGGGTGCCCCCGGTGGAGCTCGCCAAGGGGCCACGAACCGACGGGCGAGACGCCCACATGCGAACGCACCCTCGTTTGCCTCCGGTGGAACTCCCTGTGGGGCCACGAAGCGTGTGACGGGTGTGCCGACGCGGACATGCGGCAGGCGGGGAACTGCATGCGAACGCGGGCACTGGGGCCTTCGGTGTAGCTCTCTATGGGGCCACGAAGCGTGAAAGGGGTGTACGGAAACCTTGCATGCGGTGGGAGGGGAGCCGCATGCGAACGCGACCTCTGGGGCCTTCGTTTGAGCTCCCTATGGGGCCACGAAGCGTGTGAGGGGTGCGCCGAAATGGACAGGCGGTGGGCTAGGGGCCGCGTGCGAACGCGACCTCTGGGGCCTTCGTTTGAGCTCCCTATGGGGCCACAAAACGTGTGAGGGGTGTGCTGACCTGGTTGGCTGATGCGGGGGGCAGAGGCAGGGACGGGCTTGGTGTGCGGAGGGCAAAGACAGAGATGGGAGGAGGGAGGGGGAGGAGGAGTGAGGAGTGAACGCAGGACGCTCTCTTTAAAAGAGGACCCAACTCGAAACAGGTGGTTGGTAAACAACAACTCCTGGGGTTCGCTGTTCCCTGTGCACGCACACGAACAGCTGAGGTTTATGACTGCTTTTGGGGTTGAACGCCAACAAACCTCAACTGCAACCATCTGCTTCTACAACAACATCCTTACTTTTGAAGTTGAGGACCCGTGACAGCTGTGACAACAGCCTTTAGCAAATGTTTGATTGGTGCGCATGCGGTATATGGTGTGCTTAATGCGTTCTCTGGTGCTTGGAATCCGGAGTTTGGAGAGTCAGATTGTCGAATTCCCAACGCCCAAAACAATCAAACCAAACAGTGAGATAGCGCGCAACACGCAAGCATGAAAGTGCTGAAACACTGTGTTTGCCCTACCTAAGGAGCCACTGTTTTTGCTATAACATGTGGTGTCCATTGATTGTATGTTGTTTTTCATGGGGCCCGGTGATCCCTGTGCATGCACAGGGCTCAATGACATGCATGTTTCATTTTTGGTTGAAGACAAGCAGGAACTAAAGACCAGCGTGTGTTGGCATATCAGAATCGTTGGTTTTTGAGGTTGGCGAAAGGTACAGTGCGCGAAAACACATCAGTTTTTCAATTGCGTGAATGAATGTTAAGATGTATGTGCTGCTTATGTTGCTGAGGTCTGGAATATAAGGTCGGTCTCGGAGCCTGGGGTCGACGGTGTCCAATCACACGACAAAGAAGACATGTAAAGAACATCTAACATCAAGCAAACAAATCTCAACAACTAACTCATAATAAGGAAAGGCGAGCCGTGATAATACACAAAGCAAACATGAAGCACACAAGGGAGATACTACGATACAACCACGTCGAAACGCATGTTACCCTTATGCGGGGGGGGCAGGAATGATAATGAGGAATCCGATTGAAATCATGATGGAAACCTATGGGGATCCTTTTGTATTCCGATTGGGGTCTGATTGGAAACCATTTGGGATATGACTGGCAAACTGACTTGGTGGGGGTGATGGGAACTATCAGAACCTATCGGGTTCCACTTGGCAGAATCCTGCATTGTCTTGCTGGAGCCCTAGAAGGATCCTGGGGGGGACCCCACACTGAAGAGTCAGGGGACAAGATATCACTTGTAGGGGGTGCCAAGCGATATTGTTTCGCCCAAAAGGAGGGGCGGGGCCGATCATTGAAACTCAGGGCGCGCAGATCGAACCCCAAAGGGGGGTGCGTTGTGACCAGAATTCCGAGGAGGATCCAGCCATGGCGCCTCACAGGAAGGTACATTATCCTCCTCCTCTTCCTGCTCCTCCTCCTCGTCCTTCTCCTCCTCCTCCTCGTCCTCCTCCTCACTGTCCTCCTTCTCCGCCTCCTCCTCCTCCTCCTCCTCCTCCTCCTCCTCCTCCTCCTTCTCCTCCAAAGGAAGGGACCACCCGCCCACCCGCGGCGCACCTTGCCCAGCGTGTCGTTGGCCTTCGGGGGATGGGACAGCTGCTCGAGTCGCCGCGGGCCGCTCGTCATGGTGTAGTCCCCGTGGACCAGCGGGGCCGGGGACTGGACCGCCGAGCCGCCCTTGATGGCCCGATTCGAGCGCTTGCCGCTGGCGCTCCTGAGGTTGTGGTCAAACGCCGCGACCACGGCGGCGCCCGTGACGCTCTCGTCGGCCGCGCGCCCCGAGGGGAAGGCAGAGGGGCGGGCCTTCCCAGGAGGCTTCGGCACCCCTGCTTCTGAGCAGCTGTCGAGGCCCCCTCTCAAGCCGCAGAGGGCCTCTCCGAAGGCTGGGTTGCTTCCGAGAAGCCCCGCCGCCTTCTGAGAAGGCGTGCCCCTCTCACTTCCCCCCTCGGCGCGCCGCCGATCTTGACCAAGGCAGCGCACTCCGCACAGTTCGGAAGAAGGCCAGCCGACACAGCGGCGGTCCTGACCCCGCCCGTCCCAAATATCCGATCAGCATCTGTCAACGGTCTCCTCCTGGAGCCCGTCCTGGCCCGTCTTTCGAAGCGGACCCAGCCGTGGCGACGAGAAACCTCAATAAGCCAACACAACATTATCAGAGCGAAAGGCCCATACCTGCGCAACTGTGAATACCGCGTTGTGGGTACCGCTTTCGGTGGAACTCCATATGGGGCAACACGCCGTGTGAGGGGTGTGCCAAAATTGGCGTCGGGCGCATGCGGCCTGTGCCACTGGGGCCTTCGGTGGAGTCCCCCGTGGGGCCACGGACCGTGTGAGGGGTGCGCCGAAATTTGTGGCGTTGGCGAATGCGGACCGTGCAACTGGGGCCTTCGGTGGAACTCCCTGCGGGGCCACGAAGCGTGTGAAGGGTAACCCTCAATGGGTGGCGGTCCCCGCATGCGGACCCTGCCACTGGGGCGTTCGGTAGAGCCCAAAGTGGGGCCACGAACTGTGTGATGGAGTGTCCCTCAATGGGTGACGGTCCCAGCATGCCGCATGCGGACCCTGCCACTGGGGCCTTCGGTGGAGCCCCCTGTGGGGCCACGAACCGTGTGAGGGATGTGCCCAAATTGGTGGCGGTCCTCGGATGCGGACCCTGCCGCTGAGGCCTTCGGTGGAGCTCCCTGTGGGGCCACGGGCCGTGTGAAGGGTGTGCCAAAATGGGTGGCGGTCCCCGCATGTTGACCCTTCCACTGGGGCCTTCGGCGGAACTCCCTGTGGGGCCACGAACCGTGTGAAGGGTGTGCCAAAATGAATGTCGGTCCCTGCATGCGGACCCTGTCACTGGAGCCTTCGGTGGAACTCCCTGTGGGGCCACGAACCGTGTGAGAGGTGTGCCGAAATGGGTGGCGGTCCCCGCATGCGGACGCTGTCACTGGGGCCTTCGGTTGAGCTCCCTGTGGGGCCACGGACCGTGTGAAGGGTGTGCCGGCATGAAGGGCGGTCCCATCATGCGGACCCTGCCACTGGGGCCTTCGGTGGAACTCACTGTTGGGCCACGAACCGTGTGAGGGGTGTACCCAAAGGGGTGGCGGCACCCGCAAACGTACCCTGCCACTGGGGCCTTCGCTGGGAGTCCCTGCGGGGCCACGAACAGTGTGAGGGGTGTCCCAAAATTGGCGTCGGGCGCATGCGGCCTGTGCCACTGGTGCCTTCGGTGGAGTTCCCGTGGGGCCACGGACCGTGTGAGGGGTGCGCCGAAATCGGTGGCGGTGCCCGCGTGCGGGCCATGCCACTGGAGCCTTCGGTGGAGCTCCTATGGGGCCACGATCCTCGTGAGGGGTGTGCCGAAATGGGTGGCGGTCCCCGCATGCGGACCCTGCCGCTGGGGCCTTCGGTGGAACTCCCTGTGGGGCCACGGACTGTGTGAGGGGTGTCCCTCAATGGGTGGCGGTCCCCGCATGCCGCATGCGGACCGTGCCACTGGGGCCTTCGGTGGAGCTCCCTTTGGGGCCACGAACTGTGGTGTCCCTAAATGGGTGGCGGTCCCCGCCTGCGGACCCTGCCGCTGGAGCCTTCGGTGGAGCTCCCTGTGGTGCCACGAACCGTGCGAAGGGTGTGCCAAAAATGGAAGCGGTCCCCGCGTGCGAACCGTGACACTGGGGCCTTCGGTGGAACTCCTATGGGGCCACCAACCGTGTGAAGGGTGTGCCTACACGGATGGCGTTGAAGCATGCGGCCTGCGCCACTGGGGAGAGCAGAGGCAAGGAGGGGAAGGAGGGGATAGGGAGCAGCGGGGAGGGAGGAAGAGGCAGCGGGAGGCGAGGCGAGGTGAGGTGAGGTGACGAGGGGCGCTGTTTCTTCAAAACGAAGACCCAGCACCACAAGACAGTTGGGAATTAACCTGGCGAAAGACCCAACCATATGCTATTGTGAATACCGCAATTTTGAATAGCATCTTCGCCCGCGCTCCCTATGTGGCTACGGCTTCCTGCTGGAGCCCTACATGCTCAGGGACTCGTTCGTGGCCGTCTTCGCGGGCGCCGACGACGACGAGGACGGCGTCCTCTGACCGAGGAGCAGGAGCAGGAGAGGGCTCTGAGAGCCATGAGGGAGGATGTGGCGTTGCACGTCGACAAGGAAGAGTACGACGCCCACGCGCGGTTGTTGAAGCAGCACAACTCTGTGGCCACGATCCTCGTGAGGGGTGTGCCGAAATGGCCCGCGGCCGCCATGCGAACCCTGCCACTGGCGCCGTCGGTGGAGCTCGCTATGGGGCCACGATCCTACTGAGGGGTGTGCCGAAATGGTCCGAGGCGGCCATGCGAACCTTGCTAATGGCGCCTTCGGTGGAGCTCTCTATGGGGCCACGATCCTCGTGAGGGGTGTGCGAAATTGCCCGAGGCCGCCATGCAAACCCTGCCACTGGGGCCTTCGGTGGAGCTCTCTATTGGGCCACGATCCTACTGAGGGGTGTGCCGAAATGGTCCGAGGCGGCCATGCGAACCCTGCCACTGGCGCTTTCGGTGGAGCTCTCTATGGGGCCACGATCCTCATGAGGGGTGCGCCGAAATGGCACGGGGCCGCCATGCGAACCCTGCCACTGGGGCCTTCGGGTGAGCTCCTATGGGGCAACGATCCTCGTGCGGGGTGTGCCGAAAAGGCCCGAGGCCGCCACGCGAACCCTGCCACTGGGGCCTTCGGTGGAGCTCCTGTGGGGCCCCGATCCTCGCGAAGGATGTGCCGAAATGGCCTGAGGCCGCCATGCGAACCCTGTCACTGGGGCCTCCGGGCCGCGATCCTCGTGCGGGTGTGCCGAAATGGCCCGAGGCCGCCATGCGAACCCTGCCACTGGGGCCTTCGGGTGAGCTCCTATGGGGCAACGATCCTCGTGCGGGGTGTGCCGAAAAGGCCCGAGGCCGCCACGCGAACCCTGCCACTGGGGCCTTCGGTGGAGCTCCTGTGGGGCCCCGATCCTCGCGAAGGATGTGCCGAAATGGCCTGAGGCCGCCATGCGAACCCTGTCACTGGGGCCTCCGGGCCGCGATCCTCGTGCGGGTGTGCCGAAATGGCCCGAGGCCGCCATGCGAACCCTGCCACTGGGGCCTTCGGGTGAGCTCCTATGGGGCAACGATCCTCGTGCGGGGTGTGCCGAAAAGGCCCGAGGCCGCCACGCGAACCCTGCCACTGGGGCCTTCGGTGGAGCTCCTGTGGGGCCCCGATCCTCGCGAAGGGTGTGCCGAAATGGCCCGAGGCCGCCATGCGAACCCTGGCACTGGCGCTGTCGGTGGAGCTCTCTATGGGGCCACGATCCTACTGAGGGGTGTGCCGAAATGGCCCGAACCCGCCATGCGAACCCTGCCACTGGCGCCTTCGGTGGAGCCCCTATGGGGCCACGATCCTCGTGCGGGTGTGCCGAAATGGCCCGCGTCCGCCACGCGAACCCTGCCACTGGGGCCTTCGGTGGAGCTCCTATGGGGCCACGATCCTCGTGAGGGGTGTGCCGAAATGGCCCGAGGCCGCCATGCGAACCCTGGCACTGGGGCCTTCGGTGGAACTCCATATGGGGCCGCGATCGTCTTGGGAGGTGTCCCGAAATGGCACGGGGCCGCCATACGAACCCTGCCACTCGCGCCTTCGGTGGAGCTCCCTATAAGGCCACGATCCTCGTGAGGGGTGTGCCGAAATGGCCCGAGGCGGCCATGCGAACCCTACCACTGGCGCCTTCTGTGGAGCTCCCTATGCGGCCACGATCTTCGTGAGGGGTGTGCCGAAATGGCCCGAACCCGCCATGCGAACCCTGCCACTGGCGCCGTCGGTGGAGCTCTCTATTGGGCCACGATCCTACTGAGGGGTGTGCCGAAATAGTCCGAGGCGGCCATGCGAACCCTGCCACTGGCGCTTTCGGTGGAGCTCCATATGGGACCACGATCTTCGTGAGGGGTGTGCCGAAATGGCCCGAGGCCGCCATGCGAACCCTGCCACTGATGCCGTCGGTGGAGCTCTTTATGGGGCCACGATCCTACTGAGGGGTGTGCCGAAATGGCCCGAGGCCGCCATGCGAACAATGCAAATGAGGCATTCGGTGGAGCTCCTATGGGGCCACCATCTTCGCGAGGGGTGTGCCGAAGTGACCCGAGGCCGCCATGCGAACCCTGCCTCTGCGGCCGTCGGTGGAGCTCTCTATGGAGTCACGAAACGCTGTACTGGGTGGGTGAAACGCAGGGAGTAAGTAGGAGGGGGAGGAGGGAAGCAGGAGGAAGGAGCGAGGAGGGACGCGGGGACCGTCTCTTCAAAACGAAGACCTAACACCACAGGATGTCTGGAAAAAAACACCAAGACGATGATGTTGACGATGTTGATGTTGTAAAGAATGATGCTGATGATGATGCTGATGCTGATGATGACGATGATGATGATGATGATGCTGATGATGACGATGATGATGACGACGATGGGAGGAGGGAGGGGGCAGCGGGAAAGAACGAAGGAAAGAACGCGGGGCGCTGTCTCTTCAAAACGAGGACCCAATACCACAGGATGGTTGGGAACAATATACAGATAAACTGTAGGAACTCTGCGCAGATTTCTGGAATCCGCGTTGACCCGAACGCGCCAGGGACGGCGCCAAAGGCGCCGCCAAAGAATCCAACACAAACCCGTGACATCCGCGCGGACTTCTGACACAAATATACGTATGCAGTTTTCTCTTCGACACCGGCCCACAAGGACGAACACCGCCAGGGAGGGCCGCCGCTGACTGGGACTGGCCACCCTCCGAGCATAGTACTTCCGCAGGATCAGGTCCTCATCGTAGAAGTCGTCGTACGCCAGGGCCGTGGGGCTCGCGCACAGCTGGAAGCCCTGGCAATCGAGCGCGAAGGGCCCCGCGCGGCGCGCGTTTGTCACCGCCACCTCTCGTCAGCCTCGATATCATCCCTATCCGTGAAACCTTGACACCCTCCATTCATGGCAGAAACACGACGGAAAATGTTTGCCCGCTTTTAGCCTCTGGGGGCCATGGCTGGGCCCCGGGATCGGAAAACAACAATGCAGCACGAAAAGCCGGTCCAGGGGCAGGAACCCGGACCTCTTAGGAACCAAGTTGCGAACAAAAACGCAACGTGAGATGCCTGTGGATCGACAAACGAGGGAGGCGACAATCTTACGGATGTGCCATCATAACTTGACTGAAACATTTAAACACATCGGCACCGAAACAGCGCGATGCTTATCGTACGGACAAGGATGCTTTTCGAGCTGGTGTACCTCGGTCGGGGCCCACGTCGCGCCCACCAGCTCTGCGTCGCTGCCACTGCCTGGCAGAGCAGACGCATGATTACCGATAGTTGCAATCGTCGTCGTGATAAATGTGTGTGACCTTTTGGCCGTTTTGGGGGGTTCTCGTCGCCACGGTTGAGAAGCACCTCGAAGAGCTGAAGAGGATGAGCCCCTGGACAAGTCCAACGCTCGACCTTGACCAGATTCTCGAGGTCTTCTGGGCAGGACCCAAAACATCCGCCGACCCCTTGTGGGTCTCTAGGCGTGTGAGATTGTTCCCCCCTTCCCCCCCATAAGCCCCCCTCCGGGACCCCAAACCGGCAATTTGAATCCCCCCCCCGTCGTCGGATCCGACCCACCGCCGAACTCATCAGGGGGGGGGCCTGGCTCCCCAAGCTCGCTGTGTAGCTACAAGACAGCCCGCCGAGGCCCCCAAGACACCCCCAAAACGGTCCAAGAGAGCACAGAGTCTCCGAATGATCGCTCCAACACGCCCAAGATGGGAACAGGACGGCCCAAGAAGCCGCCAAGACACCCCAAGACGCCTCCAGGAGGCCTCTCAGGAAGCCCCCGCGACGCCCAAATCGTCAATGTCCATTGGGAAAACGTACTTTTTTGAACACATGCGATTTTTCGGCCGTCGCGGCGTTGACGACAGTCCAAGAGGCCCCTAAGACCGCCCCACGACGGCCCAAGAGGCTCCAAAGAGGCCCCCAAGGCAGCCCGAAAGGGCACCGAGACTGCCCAAAACGCCCGTTCAGCAGCTCCAAGACAGCCCGTCAAGGCCCCCAAAACACCCCCAAAACGGTCCAAGAGAGCACAGACCCCCGAAAGATCGTTCCAACACGCCCAAGATGGGCCCAGGATGGCCCAAGAAGCAGCCAACACACCACAGGACGCCTCCAGGAGGCCTTTCAGGAAACCCCCACGAATTCCAAATCGTCATTTTCCATGGGGAAAACAAACATGCTTAACATATGCGACGTTTCGGCCTTCACGGCGTCGACGACAATCCAGGAGGCCCCCCAAACCGCCCCACGACGGCCCAATAGGCTCCGAAAGGGCCTCCAAAACAGCCAGAAAAAGGGCACCGAGACGGCCCAAAACGCCCGCTCAGCAGCTCCAAGACAGCCCGTCAAGGCCCCCAAAACACCCCCAAAACGGCCCAAGAGAGCACAAAATCTCCGAATGATCGCTCCAACACGCCCAAAATGAGCCCAGGACGGCCCAAGAAGCCGCCAAGACACCCCAAGACGCCTCCAGGAAGCCTCTCCGGAAGCCCCCATCGACGCTCAAATCATCAGTTCCCATTGAGAAAACGTGCAATTTTGAAATATGCGACTTTTCGGCATTCACGGCGTTGACGACAGTCCAAAAGGCCCCCAAGACCGCCCCACGACGGCCCAAGAGGCTCCCAAGGTGCCCCCAAGGCAGCCCAAAAGGGTTCCGAGATGGCCCAAAACGCCCCCACCCAAGACGGCAGAAGAGTGCACCAAAACGGTTCGAAGAGGGCCCCAAGAGGGAAACTCGAACCCATAATTCCAATTTTCCGCCCGAGGGGGCTCCCAGGAACCCTAAAGATGCCCCCCCAAGAAATCCCCAAAGGCCCCCACCAGGCACCCAAAAACCCCACGATGCCCCAAAGAGGACCAAATGAGACCCCAAAACGGTTTCAACCGCCCTCCGAACTGCCTCCAAAGAGCCCACGAAAAGGGCCCCGACAAGATCCCAACGGACATCCCAGACGCTTTTTACCCACAGCCCAAGCGCGGTGGCGGGGTGGGCCGAAGGCAGCTAGACAACGCACGGAATCCAGCTGTAGCGACGGTGTCGCCCCAGGACGCCCGATCCATCGCCTCCGTTTTCACGTCCCTCCCCTGCCCCCCCAACCGTAACGTCGTCCGACTTCCTTCAAAACGCATACACGCTTAGCATATAAGACTCATGTACCTCCCCTGGCCCCAAAACCGATACATCGTCAAACTCCCTACCTCCTCCTCCTCCTCCTCCTCCTCCTCCTCCTCCTCCTCCTCCTCCTCCTTCTCCCACTCCGTCTCCCTTTGTATCACCCCCCCCCACAAGGACAAAACCATCCCGACACCTCATTGGGCCAGTGGCGACTGCCACGCTCACCAAAAAGGCCCCGGGGTTGCCCAGACAACACGCATCCGATAGGGTGCCCATCGGGCCCTCTGGCTGGGTCAGCGGCGACCGCCACGCTCGCCAGCCAGAGGTTCCCAGACACAGAGGGCTCGGGAAACAACTCTGGATTGATCGAAAGAGACAGAACGATTCCCGGCGCCTCATTGGGTGAGTGGCGAGTGCCACGCTCGCCAAGAAGGCCCCAAGGTTGTCGAGATCACGTGCATCAGATACGGTGCCCGTCGGGCCCTCTGGCTGGGTCAGCGGCGACAGCCGCGCTCGGCAGCCAGAGGATTCTAGGCACAGGCGGCTCGGGGAACGAGACTGGATTGACCGACGTAGACAGCACGATTCCCGACACCTCATTGGGTCAGTGGCGACTGCCACGCCCACCAATGAGACCCCGATGTTGTCGAGACCACACGCGTCAGATTGGTGCCCATCGGGCCCTCTGGCTGGGCCAGCGGCGACCGCCACGCTCGCCAACCAGCAGATTCAGGACACAGAAAGCTCGGAAACGAGACTGGATTGATCGACGGAGACAAAGCGATTCCCGACACCTCCTTGGGTCAGTGGCGACCGCCACGCTCACCAATGAGGCCCCGGGGTTGTCGAGACCGCACGCATCAGATAGGGTGCCCATTGGGCCCGCTGGCAGGGTCAAACAGCCACGCTCGCCAGCCAGAAGATTCCGGACACAGAAAACTCAGGTAACGGGACGTTGGTGATCCACGGGAACCACTACCACTACTACTACTACTACTACCACTACTACTACTACTACTACTACTACTACTACTACTACTACTACTACTACTACTACTACTACTACTGCTACTACTACTACTACTACTACTACTACTACTACTACTACTACTACTACTACTACTACTACTACTACTACTACTACTACTACTACTACTACTACTACTA